GACCGGCCCACAAACCTCTGTGCCCGCATCCCCTTTCGCATGCCCCAAAACCAACATCGAGCGACAGCTGTACAAGCCTCAGGAGGCAGCGATCTCGAGGCCTTTCGAGAAGTGACATGGGGCCCCTCGGCACTCGACCCACGGATTGGTCAACGCAACCCCTCCGACGCCGTCTCCTCCTTACCCGACTGACACCTGCTCATCGCCTTAGAACACAGGCCGAGCGTGTGCACCAGCCCAGCCCCCGTGCAACGCACCAGGCCTTCCTCGCTGTGCACCACTGCCAGGCCGAGATCTGACAGGTGCAATGATAACCTGCCATCCTGCCGCAGCTACGTTCCCTGGGAACAAAGCGTCCTAATAATAGGAACCCTGATTATGGAAGCTACATCTGAGGCAGGGAAAAGTGAGGGCAAAAGCCTCCATGGGCACCCTGCACTGGGCACCCTGCACTGGGCACCCTGCACTGGGCACCCTGCACTGGGCACCCTGCAGCAGCAGGGAGAAAACGCTGCCGTAGCCAAGGCTCCCCAGTCCCCAGGCAGGAGAGGGGCTGTCTTCTGCCTTTTGGAGGCTATTAGCAGAGGCTGGGCCTCCAGCGCAGCGTCCCCTTTCACCTCCTTCCTGAGGAGACCTGGACCCCTCGGCACTACCAAGGGAATCCCAGACCGTCTGAAGACCGACCTGGAGGCCTGGCAAGGATCGAGAGCCAAGGCTCCCCAGTCCCCAGGCAGGAGAGGGGCTGTCTTCTGCCTTTTGGAGGCTATTAGCAGAGGCTGGGCCTCCAGCGCAGCGTCCCCTTTCACCTCCTTCCTGAGGAGACCTGGACCCCTCGGCACTACCAAGGGAATCCCAGACCGTCTGAAGACCGACCTGGAGGCCTGGCAAGGATCGAGCGGCTGGCCCCCGACAAAGAGCCACCAGCCACGTGCAGCAAGCGAATGGGGGCCAGGGGATGCTCCCTGTGCACAGCTGCTCAGCTCCCCCCGCGGCTCCCAAGTTGGCGCGCCGATTGTCCACCAAGCGGAGCAGCAGGGGCTGAGCTCCTTTGGGAACCGGCTCCAACTCTAAGTGCAGAGCACCCGCCGCCCCGCCGCGGGCTAGACCCCACCTGTGACCAATCCACCGCCTGCCAGTCACCTGCGTCCGGATCCCCAAAGGCATTTAGGTGCCTAAATCAGCCCCAACGGGCTCTTGACCCTGAGTCTCCTGCAGCCCAGCTGGGTACCCCCTTATCCGAGCCACTGGGTCTTCTAGGGCGAGGGGCTCTCGGTCTGCAAACAGCGTCACCAGGTTTCCTTCCGACGCGGAATGAAAACTCTGAGCCGCCTGCCAGTCACCTGCGTCCGGATCCCCAAAGGCATTTAGGTGCCTAAATCAGCCCCAACGGGCTCTTGACCCTGAGTCTCCTGCAGCCCAGCTGGGTACCCCCTTATCCGAGCCACTGGGTCTTCTAGGGCGAGGGGCTCTCGGTCTGCAAACAGCGTCACCAGGTTTCCTTCCGACGCGGAATGAAAACTCTGAGGCCCCCAATGTTCCAGGAATGGGAATTCTTGGGTTCCAGCCAGCCTAGAGGGGAGCAGCCAGCCTGGGGCAGCTGCTCTGGGCAGCTCAGCAGAGCTCAGAAGAGGATCAGATGCTCGTGGGGACCGTGGGATGGGGCTGTCCCGAGGGGCTCCTGGTAGGACACAAGGAACTCTCCTTCCCTCAATCCCCCTGGGGTGAGTGGCCCTCCCACTGGGAAGAGCAGTCCCTGCTCCGGCCTCCACCTAGAGCTGTCTCAGGGCGTCTCTGTGCTGTGCCTGGTTCCCAGCCCAGGTGGACACAGACGGGCCAGCTCTGCTGGAGCCAGTGCGCTAAGCTTGGCCGCGTAACTGGGGCAGCTGCCTGCGTACAAGCCCGCCTGGCCTCCGGGTTCCGTGCCGTCTCCCCAAGCGGGGATCCTGCTCCCTCCTGCAGAGCGGGCACACCGAAAGGAGGAGCGTTAGCAGGGATTCGCCAAGTCTCTGGGGCTGCACCTGCTCTAGGAGGTGTCGGTCAGACACGCCTACCTGAGCAAGCGGTGCTGACTTCCACGGGCTCCTGACACGGTTCGTACAGGGAGCGTACCTCCCGCGGCTAAGAGAGGCCGCAAGCCAGCGTCTGAGCAGCCAGATCAGACAGGCACGATGGGTGTCATTTCAAACCACTGCACGTCCCACCTCTCAGCGTTTTACCAGGAATTTCATGCTATTTGGTGCTTTCCTAAAAGCCCAGCTCCTGGGTCATGAGACTCTCAGCTCTTTTTTAAGTGAGATTTTGCCCAGCTGGCTGCAGAGGAAAGCTTGAGAGCATGATCCCTGAAGGCTCGGCAACCTGAATACCTACGAAGAATGACCCGAGATTTATCATCAGTATTTACATATATTATTGGAGGCCTGACTCAGGATTATTGTTAAGCACTTGGAACTGGCAGAATTGCTGTTTACTGCTCTGCCACTCCACGTTAGCATGGACAGCTACATGCATGCACTAACTTCTGTGATTCTGGCCTACAGGCTCTCACACTGCTCCCTCTCCAGGGTGTCTGAGCACCTGTGTTCAGCGCGTGATCACCTGACATGAGAAGTTAAATGTCTGCAGCTGCAAGCACTTAACGCTGCAAATCGACTCCACAGGCGGGAATTTGCAAAGAAGCCTTGGGAATCGGGCACTCTGAGCCTGCCGGCCAGAGTCTTGGGCACTTAGCCCTCTTATGGTCCATTGCAAATCCCAGCTCCAATGTCTATGCTGGTCTTAGCTAGAAGCTCAGCTCCCCCCTCCACAGACCAGTGGACATTGCTCCCAGCGGGCTAGCACATCCTCTGCCCTGGGCATCCTGCGCTTACAGTTTTCAGAGCAGATTTATTCATTGGTGCGAAGAGGAAGTTTCTCTGGTCAGACGCCACTGACTGGCAGAACCGCACTGACTCACTGACCCCAGCCCCAGCTCCCAGGACCTGAGCAAGTCAGGCTGGGCCTGTCGGCTCCTGTCCCTGGGGGTCAGCATCAGACCCTGCCCCTCCCTCCTGCTCCCACCCCCTGCTTGATCTCAATCCCGCCCGGACACCTGCTCTGCTGGGAAAGGGGAGGAGGGGGGAGGGTGCCTCTGCTGGAAGCACTTTGACAGCCAGGCCAGAGGCCAAGACGCTGCTTGTTACTGGCACATGAAGAATCACGTCACACCCGTAACCGGGGCCTCAGCTGCTTCCAGACATCTCCTGTTGGGGACGCAGTCGCGCAAAGCCCAGCGGGTGACCGGAGCTGGGAGAGGGCAGCAGGCGGCCACGTCCTAGGAGTCAGCTGGGCACATTTGGCTCCGGGGGGGGGGGGGGTGTATCAGGCCCCCCGGAGGGGCTTTGCCCGGGGGGGGGGGGGGGCTGTATCAGGCCCCCAGGAGGAGACGGTGCCTTGGGGGGTTCCACGGCTTCATGCTGCTGTCTAACAGGGAGCAATCGTGCAGCGTACGCAATGCACGAGAAAGGACTGAAGACTAATCCACGAGCCAAAAGAAACAATTGGCTGTTTGAAGGGCCATCGGGGGGAGGAAGAGAAAGGCCAGGGCAACCCCCCGCAGTGCCCAAGCACAGGGCCTGGGGCAACCTCCCCCTGCCGCAGGCCCTGCCTCCACGCCACCCATCCCTAGGCCCCACCTCTTCCCCCCTTCCCGAACAATGCAGCCCAGGGGAAAGAGGGTCCTGGCACAGGGCGACAGCAGGGGTCACCCACCCCCACTCACCATGGGGACAGCAGGAGCCGGGGGCCAGAGCTCTGCTCCCCGCTGCCACAGAGGAGCCGAGCGCCATGCCAGCCCCTGCCGCCCCTGTGCTGGGGAGAGGGACACTCCCACAGCTGCCCTGTGCCAGGCCCCAGTAACACGCTGGGTCCCTGAGGGGCTGCGGCCCGGCTGTTCCTAAAGTCCTTCGCACTTGGGGCAACAGAGGAACTGACAAGGCCTGGGCATGAGGGTGGGAAAACCTCCCACGCTGGGCCTGAGAGAAACACCGGCCTCTGGCTTCCCACCATCCCCTTTGCACAGGTAGC